ACATAAGGACGACAAATCCTGAACAGTTTTAATATTTTTAATATTTAAAATTTATCAATATATATGACGAATATATATTTTAGTTATTTTAGTATAAAGACAACAGGGCATGCAATGAAATAGTTCGACACACATCGAAAGGCACCTGAAGATGGCACTTTTGTGCTGAAACATGTAGTGCAAGAGAGAAGAGTAAGGTGAATAAATGTATGCACTGTAAGATGGTCAGAATAAATCATTGGCTCTTTAAAATAGCCAGCAAATTCAAAGATGCCAGATGTGCAGGGGGTACTGGTAGGTTAATTTGGATTTGTCATGCCCAATTCCTGTGACAGCCAAACAATGCAATTTTTAGCTAGCCATTCATATCAACTGACTGCAACTGTTGTTCAATATGTAGATTGTTCTCAAATGTTCAGGGTTTTTTTTTACAGATAGATGCAGCTAAATTTGTTGTCTCCTCATCTGTTCATGGAATCAATCTCATTTTTTCAGTATGAGAGCAACGTTCTGCAAATAAGTGTGTTTGTGTCCATATATGAGGCCAGATATAAAGGTTATTTGTCTTTATGTAAAATTTAGTTAGTATACATTTCTGACACTTGTAGTTAGTTAGTTAGTTATTGGAGAGGGTGGGTTTCCCCATGCACTGAGACCTGTATTGGTCCATTGTGCTTCCTTCTATGATTTATACCAGTCTCTATATCCTACTGGTACTGATGCTTACCATCAGTCCCGATCAGCCAGCGAGACCGGCTCTACTAGCTGAGAGGTATCTATAATGCTTCCCCCATCTACCAGAGGTATTAGAGACTGCCGTTGGGCGGAAAACGTCCATAATTTGGCTCAGTGACCTCCTTTGGAGATACGAGGTTCTTTTATCTGCCGTAAGGCTACGACACAGGACCCACGGCTTAAAGTCCCTCCCGGAGGACTTGTTCCCTGAATTTTTCCGCCCTTAAAAATTCGACGACCTCCGCCGGGTATTTGAACCCGCGTACTACGAGTCATGAGGTGGGAACGTTACCTCTAGACTACGGAGGCCACTTTCTGACACTTGTAAGTTCTTGCATATATGCAAGTTTGTACGTTTTCCATGACTTTAATTTTAAGTATATGCAACATTTCATGCATAACTACACATTTCTACAAGAAAAAAAAATGCTCAAAACTTTTGAGAAATTAATATTACTTTTGGCAAATAAACATGAAAAATAGTGTCAATCAATTAAATAAGTGTATGTGGAAACAATGTTTAACATGAAAATGTGAAGTGGACTATCCTCAGAAGTATTAACAACTGTACTAAACTGTAATAAACACACATATCTGTAAGTTAGACAAATTATATTTCCACTGATTTTAATGGTAATGAGTCAACTGGTTCAAAATACTTAGTGATGCTGTATCAACTGCAGCAGAGGTCACATGAAGATCAATGAGACATAATGGGGTGACTATGAATGATGAATAGCAAGGCACATGTATGGTTGTTGTGAGGGCCAGAATTCTGGAAAGCCAAGGACACCTCAATTCGAATACTTACTGGGAGAGAACTGGACGTCTTACCTTTGACATGCTAGCCTTTTCCCTGTCACGGGGAAACTTCCTATTAACTACAAATGTGATGCCATTAGCCTGCAAAAGGTCCTGCGTATGTGATATGTATTCTGTGTACTTATGTCCATCCTCTGTCAGGGCTGCCACCTGCTCCCAGCCTAGTTTCTGGAACAGTTGTAAGTACACAAACCTGGAAGAAGTAGGCATAAATTTTAAAATCAAATAAAAAATTGACTTTAACAAATTCCAAACATAGAACTTATTTGAAGAAAGCAGTCTTCTGGGATTTGGCACCGTGTATATGTGGTGTTAACTGACGTTTCGGAGGAACGTATCGCCTCCATCTTCAGGGTAGAAGAAAAAATATAAGAAATCTGCAAAGCGAAGAGACCCTGAAGATGGAGGCGATACGTTCCTCCGGAACGTCGGTTAACACCACATATACACGGTGCCAAATCCCAGAAGACTGCTTTCTTCAAATAAGTTCTATGTTTGGAATTTGTTAAAGTCAATTTTTTATTTGATTTTNCTAAGAAATTTAAATGTTCATCTACATAATTATATACAATGTAACTTCATCTCGGATAAACTTTGTTCCCTCTCATGTATGCTTGTTTTACATTGAGACAACAGATGGGAACTAAGCTACATCGTAAATAAGGATAGGACACTAATTAAACGAAAGATAAGTTTAACATAATAGTTATATAAATGTGTGTTACTGCAGATAGCAAATCCTTAAAAACATTTGGGGAAGTACTTCAATTTTGAAGAAATTATCAAATATATGAAAGTTTTTATTTCCGTGTCCTCAAATGTTAACATAAACACATTGTCACGTGTTACTGCCTATACATGGGGTACGGGTTGCTAATTGGATTTACTGAGCCCTTATTACTTGTAAATACAAAGAATTACAATACTACTGCTAATCTGCACACTTAACAAATCACTATAGTACACACGGTCTCAGTCTGTTATAGACCTCCCAAGTCACTACTGGGTAATAGTCTTCACACAGAGATGCATGGTGGTTCTTCTGCTTTGGTGCAAACCCCTCACTGGACGACCGTTGACTCACAACTAACTCATGATGTCAGATTTACTTTATGACTGGCAGTTTATAGACAATCAGGTTGTCTTGGCACCAACCCACTTGTGGCTCTAGACCAGGTGTTCTTTTTTTTTTGCAACTGAACCCTTGCAGTCATAGTCTTCATGTAACAACCTCTCTGTAGAGAGGTGGGTTCATGTCTTATGACTATACCTGGTATTTTGTCAAGTGTACGTATCTCACATATAACATGTTGTTGAAAATTCTTCCCTTTGCACTATATACAAGTCCTTTGTCAGTACAGGCTTTCAAAGCAAATCATGCGTACCTTATGTATCTTTTGGAACCATGGCAGCTTAGTCACTTCAATGGTCTTAAGCTTGACCACTGCCAAGTTAAGCCTCATATATTTTCTATACCTGGCTTCACCTTGTCCTATGCTGCAAACATGTTCATTCTCAAGATTTTGTATTACTTCTGCTTGTTGCTTGCACAATTTCATTACATAATTGGATGCATATGGAAGGCAGAAAGCCAAAGTCAAAGTCATATTACGACTGATGGTCAGTCAGTCAGTCAATAAGTCTTGGTGTCGAGCCCCATCTGGGGCTCATGACCAGATATTTATTACTATTTGACAGTTACAGTCATGTTTTTGTGGGGCGCCCTCTCTGACAAGAGGACGGGTCTGTCTTTGTATATGCTGCTGACACATGCCAGCACAAGCCATGTGCTTGAATGGTGCTATATAGCCTAGAGTCAGACGACACAGAAAACACCGCCTCCAACAGCTCCTCTACTGTTGTGTGATGTTTCAGCGGGAATGTTGCCTAGTGATGGCTCGCTTGTGGATCAAGTCATTACCATGCAAAGGACAATGGTTATATAGTCATGTCATAATATTTTATACAGTGAATATTAAACAAAATATTCTTAAATTTTACATAATGTGATAACGAGTGTTCTAAAGTATAATTTATTATATGTTTGAAAGAAACATGTAATATCTTGCTTTAAATGGATAACTGGGTAAGACTACTTTAGGTAGCTCTTGAGGTTTTTGCTATGCCCAGATATCAGACTCATTATTATTACACAAAGGATAAAGATACTCATTGATAACAAAATATTTCAAAACATAAATAAAAATTGAATACAATGGACAGTTTTACCAACACAGTTTTAAATCATTTTAGCTCAATATCTATTACAATATGTCAATATTAAGTAAATAAATAAATAAATAAATAATCTGCATATGTACTAGGTTTAACTTTATACAAAGTGTCATCCAAACTGTTCAATATGGGGCAAATTAAGTTTCATCAATGAGAGGAGTACAGTACTGAATTTCAGCCAGAGTGGAATTTCATCATTCATAAATGCAGGCAATTATACTGACTTGTACTGTGTATTCTCTCCAATTGTCCTAAAGAAGTAAGGGTACTTGCTGCGGTCAGAGAAGGTTGATCCCTCAGCACTATAGCTGATTACCACTGTGCGGAAGTGCTTTGTGACCCCAGCCAGAGGCTCCACTGTGTCAGAACATGCTGGACCTGCCACAACACCCATTGAAGTACTCATAACCAGATGTCTCACTGAAGATGTGTTGATTGCAAAACTCAATCACATGTTCAAAAATAAAAAAAAACTACACTATTTATGTTGGCAATAAATTTCTGCCTGAATAATTGCTCTATTATCCACATAGAAGTAAAACATAATAAAAACTGTATTAATATTGTTAATTGTTAATTGATTAGACATAGGATTTCAATTGGTAACTGGATTTATTGTACTCTTACAACTCATAACTACATGCAACAATAACATTTTCTCTGATCTACACACTTAACAGTTCACTGTGCAATGCACTAAGTCTTATATGTCTTCATTAGGCGTTGCTACACAACGGCTTCCAACAGTGGGGAATCCTCCACCTCCCATGTCTCCGCCAGAGGCAACTGTCTCACAACCTCACATTCGTTGTAGCTGGGAGTCAGAGGGTCAGAGTCAGAATTACTTTATGACAGCAGTTTACCACCAATCAGTTTGACTTGGTACCAAGCCCCTTGTGGCTCATGATCAGAAACTCTTTTTTAACTGAATCCTCATGTAACATCCTCCCTGAAGAGAGGAGGGGGTTGTCTCTTATGAATAAGCTTCGCCTTTGTCAAGTGTGGATACCACACATACAGGATAAGTTTGAAAATTCTTCCTTGCTACTAAATACATGTCCTCTGTCGGTACAGGCTTTGCAAAGCACATCATGCCTACCTTATGTATCTTATGCTACAGTGGCAGCTTAGTCACTTCAACAATTGTAAACTTGACCACTGCCAAGTTTAAGCCTCTTATATTTTCTATGTCTGGCTTCGGCTTCAGCTACACCAGGTTCATGTTCACTCTCACGATTTTGTATGACTTCTACATGTTACTTGCACAATCTTGTTTTATAATCGTATACATATGGAAGATTGAAAACCATCTGAAAATTGCACACAGGAGTGCACCTTGAAAATTTTCTAATGATGCGGGCACTGCGATTTCAAGAGATAGGCGTCTGCATCTAATTCAGAGTCAAGTATTAGATTTATTTTCTACTTGATAAATTCTATATATTCTCTTCCCTATTAAGGGGTTATTTGTTATTGTAGTACAAATGTTAACATTGCAATAAATAAAAAAGTATATTCTTTAGAACCTCTTCCAATTTTCTATGACGTTTCTAAGAATACAAAACTCTAAATAATGACAATACTAAATAGTGCCCTCATTATAATTCATGAAGGCACCAGGATCGTACGAAGTGGAAACACCCCACCTGCAGTTCTCAGAGAGAGACTGGTGTAGTGATAAAAATTTCAGCTGAGTTATTGGCTATTACATTAATTCTTTCCGGCTTAATTTCTTGGCTGTTATATAGTATTGTAACATTTATCATGTTTTGGAACAGTCACTGTCAGGAGCCACTTAAACTATTGATGTCAGTTTGGTTTTATTCGCTACTATTTCACACTCAACACATCACCCAAGAGGAGAATTAGACACAGATTTGGGAAGTGCTGTGGCTTGCTACTTAGATCAGTGCTAGTTACAATAGGAGAACAGTGTAATGGTATACAGTGGAAGAGTAGTGAACGAAAACAAGCTAACATAAAGATCTTAAATGGCTACTGACAGTTAGACACTAATTGTTTCAAAACACAATAGACGTTACAATACTGCTTAAGTACCATATGCACTGACAGTAATTATATTCCTTCTTATTTCATCCCTATTTTACATAATTTTGAAAGTCCAGCTGTTACATTTAGGTACTATTTCATTTACATTTCACAGAAGTAATTGTTTCTGTTTGTGAGCTCTTTTACCATATTTCTCTACAGATGCAATTGAAATCTCTTCCATGCATATATCTGCTGATTTTATCATTATTATAAAATTCAAATAAGCTCCACAGTATTAAATTTTAACATCTTACCAGGTCTAGGACTCTGAGCAAATTGTATCCTCTTATTATTTACCAGTTCTCTGGCCTTTCTAACTATGTAATTTGATACAGCAGACTCATTTCTCTTACAGTCCAGGTCTGTGGAAAATGGTCAAAATTTGTACCTGTTCACTTCTCTTGGTATTGGATTTAAATTTACTTTCAACCGTATTATGACTTCTGAATGAGACCCAGAATGTGTATCTTCTTCACTTTTACTTGCTGACAAGTGTAAAATTCTGTTTTAGTGTAGTTGTGATTTGCTGAACGTGAGTCTTAGCATACTTCCTTCTCACTCGCATACTAATTAGTCGTACTTGAGATATAACACAGTACACCACAAAGTGAAATGTTCATGAACCATTCTGTTATTGCTCAAACACTCCTAAATAATTCACTTCAGTAATTCAGAATCCTAAATTCCACAACAGCACAACTGAATGAAAACTTATTGAAATGCTATTGTTTCACATGAGGAAAACAGAAGCTCCCCCCCCTTCACATAAAAACATACTGTTAACTTGCAGTTTCTAGAAAACACCAATTATGACCTGTTTAAATTTTTCAAGTTCTGCATTTGTACTGCGATCTGTGGGGAGAACTAATTACACTCCCTCTAAATCATAAACAACTTCTGTCCTACCATCTGTTGAAAGAGAGCTTTTTTTTATGGCTAGTGGGGTGGGACTAAGTCCCTTGTACTGTGCCCACTTCTGGCCTATTGTACCAGCCCCAGATGACAGGTGAGGGTGATTGTGGAGCAATTGGTGGAATGAAGATTGGCAGGGGAAACCACAGTACTCAGAGAAAACCTGCCCCAGTGCCACTTTGTCCACCACAAATCCCACTTGACCAGACCCGGGATCGAACCCGGGCCGCCACAGTGGCAGGCCAGCAGTTAACTGCTTCAGCTATGGTGTGGCCTGAAAGAGAGCTTAATAAGATTTCCATAAAGGCATACCTGTACATGCGATGACTTGTGTTTGTGTTTAATAACTAAGTAGCAAATACAGTGAGGCTTGTAGACCCGTTACTAGGGCACTACAGCGAAACAAACAACTTGACAATGACCCATAAACAGCATCAAAGGAACGGTTTTTCTCTGCGATCCATCCTGCTATATTATAAACAGGACAATTAGTGACGAGTGAGTTCAGCCAGTCAGTGGAGTGCAGTCATTTGGTTGGTTAGTGACTGAGTTGAACTGAGTTCAGTTGTTGGTAAGTTTGGTGAGTTAGTTAGATAACCGTTTGGGTTCACTTGTTGTGAGGTGTTGCTGTGAAAAGCTGACAGCTGAGGCCAGGGACAATTTTGGAACCCAAAGGAAGAGGAACGTCCACTGTTGAAGCTGCTACATAGCAATGGTTAGTGAAGAGTGTAGCAGACTGAGAAGACCTAGTGTGTCCTACAGCAGCTCTTCTCAACCTGTGGTCCGCGATGATGGGACAGGTAGTCCGCAAGCAGACTTAAATTAAATTATCCAAACAAAACAAATTAAAATTAAAAAAGCAAGTAAAAACTGTTGAAATAAAAAGGATACTGGAAAACACAAGCTTTATAAATTCCATAAACACTTCAATGACCAGACAAGAATCCGGTACTTCCAGGGTATTAGGGTGTGATTGCATTGTCACTAACTTCACAGGAGTGACCCTGCCGATAATTGGTAGCTGCAGAAAGATGGCTAATAAAAGAAGGGTGCAGTGAACAACATTATGATTTTATTGCTCTGTCTTTCCCTTGCTGTTTTGTTAGATTTAAAGTAAACATCCACATTTCAACCAATTGGTTGTCGTCTATTGTTATTTATTACTGAAAGTATACGCTCAGTATATCTTCATAAGTGCTAAGTGATAGTTTGACAAAGTGTGTCGTGAGTTAACTCCAGTTAACTCCGTAAATAATGCCTCCTATTTTTTGCGTTAATATGTAACGTCTGAGATGGATGTTGGTGGTGTTGTAATAAAGGTTGAACCTTCCTGCCAATCTACTGTTAGTTTGGTTGTCGTGCGACACACAGCGACAGCAGAGCAGTCTACCAAAATGGTGTCTGACATAGTAGTGAGTATGAAACACAGATGTGTTATTGAACTTCTCACTGCCGAACAAATTGTACCCATTGACATCCATCGACACTTGCTAAAGGTGTACGGAGACAATACAGTGGAAGTCAGCACAGTGAGGCGGTGGGTAGTGAGTTTCAACAGTGGAGAAAGTGAAGTGCATGACAAGCCACGCCCTGGGTGTCCCTGCTCAGCTGCCACTCCTCACAATGAACAGCGCCTCATCCATACAGATCAGCAGATAATGACCAGGGACTGTCAATTCTGAATGCTACAAAACGACACTGACTAAGCTGAAAGCCCGCATTTCCCGAGTCAGGCCAAAGAAGCAGACAACCTTTTGCTTATAACACGATAATGCTAGACCCCATACCAGTTTGGCAACCACTGCGCACATTGCAAAGTTTGGCTGGACTGTCCTACCACATCCGCCTTATAGCCCCGATTTAGCACCTTCAGACTTCCATCTCTTTGGGCCTAAGAAAGATGGACTACGTGGGCAACATTTTCCAGACAACGATGCTGTCATTGCAGCTGTAAGAAAGTGGCTAGCCTCTGCTGGTTCAGACTTTTACAGGCGCAGCATACAGGCTCGTGTTCATCGCTGGCAAAAGTGCATAATGAATGGTGGTGATTATGTGGAAAAATAACTGTAAGTAGCTGAAATCTTGCTCTATTTAACTGCATTATTATGCTTTCTGTATCTATTGTAGTTTTCTTTAAAAAAAAATAGGAGGCATTATATACAGAACGCTGTAATATATTTTTAAGAAACATTTTTAATAATGCAGAAGTGGCTTACAACAGGGACTTTGAAAAGAAAAGCAAACAAAACAGGTGATGCTAACCCTGACTGTGATATGCATGTTGTAATAGTAAGTAAATGTGATATTATTAAAGCCGAAGAAGCAAGCAGTTCAAAGAAAAATACACGTACAGTAAGAAATATGACAGTTCATATTTGGAATTTGGCTTTGTTTGTCTGTTGGTTTGGCATGTTTGCTCTCACTGTCTCTACAGTTTCAATTAGTGAATACTAACTTCTGATGAACTCTTACAAATAGCAGTGTTGCCTGCAACATTCCATTCCCTAACTGGTTCAAATGACTAAAAGCAAATATTTCTTTACCATAAAATTCAAAAGGTATATTTCATGATACATCCTTTCTATACACCATACCTTCACGTTCTTCATGATCAATGTCTGCAGATAAAAATCTATTACTGCAAAGCTAGTTGCACTACAAATATCACACCGTATGCAGCAGATATTATTTTTCTCTTCATTTCGTTAAAGAGTTGCACGTACAATATTTCGAAATGTTTATTGTGTCTTCATGACACAGGATGAATGCAGTTAAGATGGAAGGACCAGCATACTCTTCAAGAAGATGGAACAGACCACACATAGAGCAACTGAAGGAGGAGGAGGAGGGAGAGGAGGGGGAGGGAAGAGGAGGGGGGAGGAGAAGAAGAAGAAGAAGAAGAAAATGATGATGACAACACCTATGATGCTGACATTGATGACAATGATACCTATGCCGATGACACCAACAACGATGACAATGTTCACAAGATCTATATTTTATTATCATAAATAAATATTTGTGATATGTGAAGGTTTGGAGACATCTTGTCCAATTCGATTTGAACTTCATGTAAACATATGCACTAAAATTAAATTTACATAACAAAATTTTGTATGGACAATCAGTACCTAATTTACGAGACATCTGTTTAACAATTTTGGTTATGAAACATAAGGACAGACTCATTATTATGAATCCACTATATGTCCTCTAAGTTAAGAAAATAAGGGGGAAAAAAAAGAAAGGGTGGTTAATATTGTTAGTCACACACTGGCTACATATGTTGTTTGAAATACATTCCTCACCCAAAATGCCCACCAGCTTCTTGTACACACTGAACAACACATAGTAGATGAATGTGTTCATAACAGCCTCTGCTTTACATTCTCCATTGTTCACCTTCATTTTCAGGTTGTAGTCCCGTAGAATAGTGTCATTTGCATTCACAGCCTCCAGTGCCATTTCAGCAGCTGAAATCAACAAAAGGCATTAGAGTCAACAAACCTAATTGACAATTTTGATAAATAAAGTTGAATTAACTGTATTGGTTATTGTCAGGTGACAAAACATTAAAGAAACTTGAAAACTAAACTTAAATATGTCAGATGTAAAATTGTAACAGCGGTGACTATAAAGCACACTGTCTCCTAGGATGTGATACCAACTTGTCTTAAAGGAGTTTACCAACATTTCAAAGAAACATCGGTAAACTACCAGAAAACAAAACATGGTGTCACAGCTCAGAAAAGAGTACTCTTCAAGCTTAAAGTATTTTAACCTTTCCTCCATTATAGAAAAAATGATAGTATCATCATGAGTTCTGTTGTAACCGTTCCACTGCTATGCAACTTATTTAATTTAATCAACTTTATTAATTTGTAAGCTTAATTGTTCAAAATGAAATGCAGTTAACAAGGGTAGTGAGACATAGGTCAATTTTTGTATGTAAGGGTAAGCAATCCCCAAGCTTACAACAAGAAACAGGAAGACACCCGTCAAAGGTTTATTAGTGAAAGTTGCGTTAAAGAATAGAGTAAAGAAATCTTTTGTAAATTCAATACTTGGCAGTTTGTGCATGCCATAACTTAAAAAGAGTGAAGTTTTTAGGGCCCAAGCGACGCTTAAGCATTTGTCACTTTCTGACAGAAATACGTTGGAGTCAAAAATCCTTAAACCCTTGAAAGCCTTAAATGGAGTGGAGGAATATATAATTAAGATACTCCTATTTTTCAAAATTAGCCAATCACTAAAATTTAAGGGTGTGACAGGGCAGTGACGCTGGTGAAAGCAGGAATTGAATGTTTGAGGAAGCGTCATGTTTTAGCATCAGTCAGAAAGGGGGACTCGTGAGAAACAGACGTAAATTCGGAAACCGGGAGTTGAAAGAAACAGACGTAAATTCGGAAACCGGGGTCGTTAGAATTAGCCGCAAAAAGTTACACACCGGGCTCCGAAGCAGTTAGACATAAAGGTTACTGACATTGAAACTGTATCAAAAGTGGTTAAACAAGTGTTCAATATAATTCGTCCAAACTTGAGATGTGCTTGTGATTTGTGTTGTTTAATTTATTCCTTTTCTGAGTTGTGGCCCGTTCAAGGCTCTGAGATAAGAGGTACTCAGCTCTACCAAATCAACAAAACCCCCTCCTTTAAAATAACCCTGAGATAAATTTAGCAACAAGAAAGAAGAACCTACTAGAGGCGACCCAGCGTGAGAAGAAGGAAGGAGGTGAGGACTGTAGAATTATGAAGTGGTATTTCCTCTGCATCAGATATGAGTATAATGGTTATTCTGCCACGATTTGGTCTTGTGAAATTAAGTGGAATTTTTGGCACATCAGATATAATGGTTATGCTACCATGATTCAATCTCCAGGAGTTAGGTGAAGGTATCTCTGCCATACCAGATGTAATGGCTATACTATGAGAAGACAGTTTTCTAGAACTGTATAATGAAATTTTCTCCACATCAGATATTGTTTATATTGCTATGGTGCGATAAACAAAGTATCATTTGTGAAAACTGGGTCTGCTACATGAGAGTGAAGTTGGCACTAATTTAGAAGGGCTTCATATTCTGCATTCTACTCCTTACAACCTGCAACACTCCTCACCTCTCACTATTCCCTTGGCAGTATAGGTGGAAACACTGATGGGGAATATCCCTCCAATGTATATCACATTCTTCTCATCACTTGTTGGAATCCATGGTTTCCAACTTACTTTGTTTTCTACTAGCCATTCACAAGCAATCTTTTCCACAGCACCAGGCTGCTGACTGTACCGTGCCAGCAAGTCTAAATAATTATCACGTGAGAAGGACATCTTTTGGACAGCCTGCAGAACATAATTTAATTGATGTGCTGTTTGGTAGATATTTTCTGGCTTATACAGGACAGACTACTGCCAAAAGCATACAATTTTATAAATATGATTTTCTTTGAAGTGTAAATAAGACTAGAATTGTTGCAAAAGATCATGACTTAGAATGTTGTTTACTTTTCATTGATTGGAGCATGAAAATCATTCAGTTATATGAACATAAACTGCTGACAAACTTAAGGTGAAACATTTTGATATAAAAAAGAAACCTGATAGAAATGGAACTGTCACAATACATTCCACCGATTAAGGTCTCATTTACCTCATACGCGGGTTTGGCTCCCACCTCTAGCCGTGACCACACCAGTTTCACAAGACGATGGAGCTCATACTTGCAGCCGACATTCTGAGAAGTCTGCAAAGTCTCACATGGAGGAAAAGCAACACTCATGAACTTGCTGTTGTCCCACATTGTGATGGGGCTTGGCATGTGACTGAGAAGAACAAGAGAATGATTTGTCTTCTCATTCAGGTAGCTGGCTGTCAGAGTGTCAGGAAGCCACTTCAGGTTAGGACCTACCCATATGACCCGCACAAACAGTTTCATCTCCAGAATGTGCTGCACCACAAAGCCTGTCTCATCTAAATACACACCAGAGAATGATTACTGAGGAGAACAGCTGTGGCTCACATGTCTACGTATGTATCACAGGATGACTAATGATGACCAGGAAAGAGACTAATTCATCTAAATGGCCATCATATAAAGGTTATTTGGGAAGCTGAACTGTGACTAAACTATCTTAATGCACATTACAGCATGATTATTTCTGAGCAGGACTATATTTGAAACAGTACGGGTTCAAAAGATTACAACACTCACCAGGATGGCCTGCCAGCAGGACTGCACAAGAAGTGTTGCAGTGGGTGGGTGTGAATATGCCTGTGGTGCAGAAACTTTCCTCGCAGTAGAACCTGCTAACCAACATGATATACAACTTTGAGTTTCAACTGACCCTCCAACATCACAACTCCTTCAAGTCCATTCAGCACTTACTTATCTGTAGCACTGAGCCTTGCAAATGACTGTACATAATTGAAGTCCCTGTCACTCATGCTGAACAAGCTCGCAGTGCTCTCATCTGCAAATATGCGCCAGTGGTCCATGCCTGGTACCAGATATGCCAATGGCAATGGCACAAACCACCCAAACCTGCAACAAACGAGGTCAATAGTGGGGCTCCAAATTGTACTACTTTAGCCAACTTCAACTAGCTTACCTGCCTGCAGGAGCCACCGCTCCACAGTCCTTTACTTGATATGCATTTGTGAACTCAATGAGGTTGGTGTCAGGGGCAATCCACACTTCCAGGTTCACCATTGATGAAGGAACCCTGAAACAGTGCAACCCAAGCTGCTATTATAACACAGTGAGATGCACAAGGAGCATAACTGAATGTCCACAATCTGCCACTCACGTCAGGCTGGTGAGTGGCCCACTCAGTCGCTGCACTATGTGGGTGATATTGAAGTGGTCATCCTCCTCCACTATGGTAACAGAAGAATATCCGAGCACTTCCTGCAGGAAGAGTTTGAAGACTGCAGTGGCCAGGCGGTGTGTGACCCGTCCTGACACCTCCAGCCTTAAGTCCAGCATCTGCCCATCAGAGTAAAAATACCGCTTTGGGTTCACTTCTGCAATCAAGATCAGTGAAATGGTGACTTACTATCATATGCTAGAGCTCATACACTCACAGAATCAGTTTGCACGTCCCCAATATGCAACTCACAAACCTACAAAACTGGTTCCTGAATATTTCATATGTCAGTGAAGCAACCAGATTAGACTCACAACTGAAACTGGTTAATACTGACTTGATATCTTGGTTAGGTACTGGGCTTGAGCACGCGGACGCATGCATGGACGTGCACGCAAACACACACACACACACACAACACTGGTTCAAACTAACCTGGATTGTCAGTAAGGCTTACATGCTGTGACTGAACTAAAAAGAACACTGTACTGAGTTTGACCCACCTGGTGTGTCAGTGAGACATCTGGACTGGGCTCTTATCACAACCATGAGTCCTGCCAGCAAGTGGTACAGCTGCATCCTAACCTTCAACAGATACTAGCATGAGCCACACCAAAACAGTATAAATATGAGGATAATAGTATTTTATGACTTCTTTTGACAAGCTGAATGCAGCAACATGAACAGTTTTCATCATGGAAGTACTTTCTTTAGATAATGCCCACTGTTTGGATAAGATAAGGTAGCTTCATAGGGTGAGTGTCTTTTCCTATTAAAGTAAATGTAAAGGAGAGCTATTATGTGTTCTGAATACCAGTTTCATCTACAAAATATTGTTTATACAAACACTGAAAGTAGTTACTATAGGATTCTGACGATGGTCAGAGTTGATCACTGGATTGAGTGACTGAGGCTAGCTCTTTCTAAGGGACCCAACTGAATAGGTGTTTTCCTTTTTCCTTCACCTGAGGACGGAAACAGATCCAGTTTCCGAAATGTCGTGTTTTTATTTATCTTAAAAACCAGGACGATGGATAAAGTCCAAAATCCTAACATATCAAACACTGAAAGTGTCCAAAAAAATGCTTTCATTATATTATTAGATTTCTGTCACACTTGTTTTGAATTAAGGGAATATTTTTGCTTTTCTCATTGCAAATAAGAGCTGTTCCAGAGCCTGAATTCCCATTTAGCCTTTCCCCAAACTCTATGACAATGCAAATTCTACTTACTTTAATTAATTTTAAGTTTTGGCAAAAGTTATTAAAGGTGTGTATTACCGTGTGGGTTTCATTCGCTTTACTCATATTTAATGCACACATTACCTAAGGACTTAACTGATTTTTGGATATATCTTGTGATGTTTTAACATGACAGAAAAATATCTTTATTATAAATTATGAGTCCATAGGGCACATATGTTCTGCCTTATACAATATTTGCATATAACTAATTTCAAGAAAATCACTAACATAATTGCAATTAAGTGTGCACAATAAAATATATAATGTTCAAGCTCCTGCTATCATCCTGTCATATAGCTTATCTCCACTTTTTTTTTACAACATACTGCATAGACAGCACACATATTCCACGTATAAAAAAAAACTGCCCTTTAAAATGGTCCAAAGGCAAAATCCTTATTTTTGTTAATGTCAGCTTGGAGGCCTTTACTAATGAAAGTGACTGATACACAACTGCAGCAACACAAACTTATTACTCAAACTGTTTACTAATCCTAATGCATGCACTGTGATATTTTAAGGAAGAAATACAATCAGCACTCACTTTATGAACTACCAGTATACAATCTGATTTGAATGTAGTATCATCATGAGGTGTACGCTTCATTTATGCAACCATCAATGATGTGCTGTAGGAATAGAACAATTGCTTAAATATTGGCTGATGTTAGTCTATTTTTCACAGGAAAGTTAACTAGATGCTGAAGGTGAGGGCATTTTAGTATTCTTTTAAAAGTATTAATACTTACTAAACAAATGATCTATTACTATATCCAGGGCATAGAAAAAATTAAACGTTGCATTACATCTCTCACTGATCTCATTTAACATCCACCACATAATCTCTAATTGCCGCTTATAAAAATAATTGTATAAACTGTGCCCTCCATCCTGAACTTCTAGAAAAATGAGACCCAAAAAGGAGGAAACATACAAGATATTAAAAGTATAACTAAACATTGCTCCCTCTACATCAATACAGACCCACAACTCTAAGGTGAGTCATAAAAATATTCTTAAATAACGTAAATGTGAGTTTGAAAGCAAATTTTCTACCAGTCCCCTTGGAAAAAATCCCAGCAGCAACCATGCGTGGCTATGGGTGAGTAGACTTAAGTCAGGTTTCTGAAGCCCTAGGTGACAAACACTGTGAACTAGGATACTAAAAAACATTAAAACCTACAGGTTGTGCATAAGAGATGGTTACAACTTGTAATATGAACCATGCACTGACACTAACCTAACTACAAACTAGATTCCACTCTGCTCTATCAAGATAACATGTCTGGTGAACATTAGGTTCATAAAGTGAGGTTGATTATTGTAAATTGTTGCATATAAGATATGTAAATTATTTTTGTCTAAGTAATGAGAATTATTAACTTCATATCGTATGAATGTAAAATTANCAATTTTTATGATTTATCACCATGACCACTGACATCTTGTGTAGGTATAAGTAATGAGAATTATTAACTTCATATCGTATGAATGTAAAATTAATGAGTCACACTTGATCATACGAAATTACTAAAATATGTTTAACTGGTAAACACTTCCATCAATGGGTATGTGCTCCTATTTTCAACAAAACATGTAATGAATGATCACAGTGACTGACACTGGTGGTGGAGCCAAAGAACATTGGAGGACACAATCCCTTCTCATATACTAGACATGATGTTCTCTAAAACACTGGGAAATTATCTAATAAAGCAAAATTCTCATAAAAAATAACATGGAATCTGCAATTTTGTCTTCTGTTATCAATATTTAACATATTCTATCATTTATGTTCAGAATTAAATTAAATAAATTTGAGGAAAACTGAGTAAAGTACAAGTGCCCCATTGAAGACAGGGAAGCACTCTAAGATCCGTTCTCTGAAAAATGCCCATTAAGCTGTAACAGGTGAACAGAATGTTATCACTCCAGTATTTGCCTATTAAAAAGTGTAATACTCGTATATTGTTAAAATTGCCAGCACTGCCTTTTAAATATACTGTTAAAATTCCCAATTTTTCTTTTAAAGTAGAATTCATAGGGCCTTTAAAAATTAAAATTTTAATGAAATGACCCTACTATATCCCACACTTCTCCACACCCTTGGAATCTGACTGTTCACTTCCTCTAAACATTGACATACAAATTGAAACCTGCCTACATGTCTGGTGAACATATAAATAGATATATGACAACTTATCTACAAGCTGCCATGAATAGACTACATTTCATTTTCAACACCTCCCTCTTGCAGGAACTATTTCTTTGTGTCTGAATTGTCTTTGTAGGTGTGACGCCAAAGGCCACGTTGATAATTATGTCGGCTTTGTTGGCCTGTGAGCCTTAGTAATTTAACCAAATAATTAAAGCTCTTTATTACTGTAAGATTTGAGGTCTTCACGGCGGTGACTATGAAGATAGCAGTCTTCTGGGATGTGGCACCATGTAGATGTGGTGTTAACCGACGTTTCGGAGGAAAGCATCGCCTCCATCTTCAAGATAGAAGTTACAATAAGAAAATCCTGCTTGTACCGGTTCTCACGGACTCTTCGCTTGTGGATTTTCTTATTTTTCCTTCTACCCTGAAGATCGAGGCGATACGTTCCTCCGAAACGTCGGTTAACACCACATCTACATGGTGCCACATCCCAGAAGACTGCTATCTTCATAGTCACCGCCGTGAAGACCTCAAATCTTACAGTAATAAAGAGCTTTAATTATTTGGTTAAATTACTAAGGCTCACAGGCCAACAAAGCCGACATAATTATCAACGTGGCCTTTGGCGTCACACCTACAAAGACAATTCAGACACAAAGAAATAGTTCCTGCAAGAGGGANCTGCACGTGTCTGACGCAGAACTTCAGACAGAACGTACACTAATCATTGGTTAGAACTTTTTTTACACTTCTCACCTTTGATGTCGATTCACAACACTTCACACTAACAACACGACCCGGCACGTCAACATACTAGCCACTATACAATTATACAACCACAATGAAACTTCGATTACTGATCCCTG